GCGCCGCGGGGCCGGGACGGCAGGGGCAGCAGGGGGCACTGTCGGCTCAGGCATCACCCGACGGCTTCCCCGGGTTGGGGACCCCCTGCCCTGCTCGGCTTTCGACCCTTTCAGCCTCGTTCCAGGCCTGGTGAGGAGGTGACCCAGCTCAAGGTCTCGCAGTGAGGACAGGTCCAGCCCTCCCACTGCTGCTCCCGGCAAGGCAGGGCACAGCCCGGGTCCTGGCTGAATCCCAAGGGACACTGAGGCTGTGGCTTGAGCTAAACCTTGCAAGGAGCCTGTGGCAGAACTGGAGGATGGTCCCTGTCCTCCTCCCCTGGACCTGCTCGGGGTCACCAGCCCTGCCTGTGCCTTCCTGGCTCCCCCTGTGCAGGGGAACATCCACAGAGGGACCTGTGAGTAGGAATTTCCCCACTGCTCCAAGCAGGTTCAGCTCGGTGGGATGCAGACAGTGAGGACAGCAGGGGGATCTCCCTTTGGGTGGGAGTGGGGTGGGAAAGCAGGATTCACCACTTCTCTCCTTGCCAGGGCACGATGGGAGCTCTCCAGGAGCTGCAGCAACCCAAACCCTCCAGGAGCTCCAAGCCCTCCAGGAACTCCAAGCCTTCTCCCAGCCCCGGATTTCTTGCTGAAGGAAGGTGGGAATGCAGGAGAGCAGGGGGGGTCAGATCAGGTTCACAGCAGGGACCCCTGGTGCCACTGCCACCCCTGGTGCCCTGCTGCAGCAAAATCCCTGGGTCCCAGCTGCTCCCCTCTCCTCAGAGAGGAGCTTTGCAGAGCCCCGTTCTAAATAAAGCAAAGATACAAAGAGGCAAAATAATTCTGGGGAGAGGAAGATGGGGGGGCTCTTTCATTTTATTTGATGTGGCCCAATTTCAGTGCCTGTGGATGTGTCTCCTGCTCTTGGCTAGTCTATCAGTCATTGTCCCCGCCTGAGAGGGTCACGTCTGGGCAGATCTCGGGGGAGGAACTGTCTGCATGTCTGAATGCAGCACAACCCCAGGCCTTAGCAACCACCCTCCTGCCGCCCAGCCTGCCCTGCCAGCTCAGCCCCCCGGCTGCTTCCTCCACATGCTTAAGGAAAATTAGATAAATGAGCCATCAAGGCAGTTGGATGAGCTTTTAATGGGACGGTGCAGGCTGGGACAAGTCCCTCTGCAATCCTGGCCCTGGGGGAATCCTCCTTCCTTGTACCTTTCCACCCACATCTCAGGTGATGTTGCTGCCAGAGCCAAATTCCTCCTGGCCCTGTGCTGGTTGATGGTGCTGCTCTGCTTTCCCCAGCTCTTTGCTGAAGGGGAATTTCCCTATAATTTTTATTGCAAAAAGGCTTTTACTGTGTCTGGTGGTGGGGAGCTGGGGAGGGCTGTTGGGATTAGCCCTGTTAAGGCCAGGCCAAGGGCTGCCTGCTCATCCCGGCCCTGAGCAAGAGGGAATTAAGACCATTACAAGGCTATCAAATAGGATCAGAGCCCTTCTCCCTTTCTCTGAGCAGCCCAGACCTGCTAATCCTTTTTCATGCAGCTGGACCAGCACCTACCACATGGTGGGGAAGAGCTGGGCTGGGCTGGACAAGGGGCCACAGACCCTGTCCCCTCCCCTGCAGCTGCTGCTGGGCTGAGAAGGGCTTTATCAGCCCTGGGATGATCCCAGTGCTGAGGGGAGGAAGGGTCAGGACCAGTCAGGCTGTGGTGGGGTGAAGCTGAGCTCTCCTGGGTGTGATGGGGTTGGGCTGTGGGGTTTGTTCAAGTGCAATAAAGTGCACAGAGCTTTGCTGCTCACCCACTTGCCCAAAATCAGCTGCCCTCACCCCTTGGGACTCCCACTGTCCTCAAGGGGCTTTGGGGCCACCAAGTGCAAACAAAGCAGCAGCTTTTAGCCTGGCAAACACTCTGGGTCACCTATTTATTTCTAAAACAGCCAAACAACTGAGGCTGGAGGGCCTGAGGATTTCACATGAAGCAGAGGGATAACCCCCCCCCCAAGGAGCTCCAACCCCGCTGGCCAGAGCAATGACCCTACAAAAACACACCCTCAAACATCAGGCAGAGCAAACCCCAAAGTCTGTGCTGGCTCCAGCTGGGCTGCCAGGTCTCCACCACACAAGGACAGTCTCTGCCCAGTCCCCCTCTGCCTGGGGCTGGCAGGACCTGCTGCCCTCAGAAAAGAGGCAGGAGCAGAACCCTGGGGAAGGGGAAGGGAGAAGAGGGGCTGGAGGGACAGAGCCCAGGGTGGGGTGAGCACAGGCACAGTGGTGAGGGGCAGCAGGAGTGGGTGCTGCCCACCCCAGCCCCCGTGCATAAAACCTGTCATGCCAAGAGCTGGTGGCAGAAATGTCCCCAAACTTGTGTCCACAGGCAAAGGGGGAAACCAGCCCAGGCAGGAGCGAGGGGAGCAGCAGCTGGGCAGGTCCCAGTTTCCCCCAGTCAGGAGGCTGCCAGGTACTGGTGGAAATAGAGGCCGAAGAGGCTG